ATATCAGCAATATTTACAAATATAAAAGAGCTTGCATATATTTCCAGTTGATTTGTATGAATCCAGATGTCCCATGCACATTTTTTGTATTTTCTCTAAGTATTGCACTTAACAGAAACTGCAAAGGAACTTTAGTCAATATTCAATTTTCTGAGACAAGTCCTGTAATATATGCAATAGTGCGCGCTCACCATGTTTGAACTTAATATATGACCTTAACTATTGATGTGTTGGCGAGGGTATGATTCCAAGGAACTCCATATGATGCGATGATGGCAGTACGTAGTTGCAAATAGAAAAAGAAAGAAGAGCCAGGCACATTATACGTGTCTTTCAATTCTTGGAAGGACATCAAGACGTTGTCGTTGGTTATGTCAGAAAGATAATGTATTCCTCTGGTTTGCCATTGTGGGAATTGGATTGCTTTTTCTCCAATACGTAGTAACAGGTTATGACAAATTGGTCAATCTAAAGACCAATTGCACAATTTCTCTACATGTTTCCACACTTTCACAGCTTGACCAATAATTGGTCCAAATGTTTGCATACAGTCATATGGCGACATGGCAGAAAACAAGACATCACCAAGTTTAAGGGGATATACCATACTTCTTTCAATTTTAATCCAAGGTACATTGGTGCTTTCATCAATCCAGTTTTTCAAGGCTCTAAGCGTGAAGGAATAATAATAAAGCTTGAGATTGGGAACATTAAGGCCTCCACTGTTTTTGTCATATTGTAGAACTTTGTATCTGATTCTTGGGTATTGGGGGGGATTTCTATACAGTTACTTGGACATTTTATGTGTTGATTTCAGTAGTTTTAAGAATACCAGACTGGTATACTGGGTAACTTACTGTGAAACCTTTATGTTAGGAGATTACATTACATTGCAATATATGGTATTCAGAATACTTTTTTATTTAAATTAACTTATATTCAGGTCAATACGTATGATAGGCATTATTCCCTTGAGCCAAAGCCGACCCAAATCAGAAAACTTTGAGTTTAAAGTCTGTGGTTTATTAATTATGTCCTTGAAGTTACTGTGATTTGCTAGTAATATTAGAGTTCTGAGACCTCAGTATTTTAAAAATCCTTGCTACAAAGTCAAAATAAAGCATTTAACATCCAATGTTGTTTTTTGAATATATGAATTAGGGTGCATAGAGATAAAAATGTATGTTGCTAAGTATCTAGTTGGCTGCCATTTAACAATTGCAGAAGAAGAGATGAAATCGTTAAATAAGTTTTCGTCTGCCGCTACTTTCAGTTTCTCCAAGCCACATCCTCTATGTGAAGCGTGGGTTATTTGCTAATTATTTCCATTGTGGCATTTTGTTTTTATTCTGCATAAAAAGACAGGTGGGTGGAAATTGGCTAAGTTACTGCTGCTACACAAACAAAACAAACATATATTTTGGCTCCGACAGCTTGACCATTCAGAAAATGGTCAGTTTAAATGGTGAATACAAATGGTACATACTGTAGTTGTGCCTCATTCTGGTCAGTGTCATGTCCTGGATTTGAGTCAAGAACAGTGATGAGTCTCTTTTACACTGAGCTGCTGCTGATTCACAGGACTCTTGGTTACATATCAAACAATTCTTTAAAGGCAATCAGGGATCTGTTTTTTATCACCATCTGTCTGGCTTCTCTATCCCAGTCTTTCAGTAATCCATGTATGAACAGGCTGTTTACAAAAACTGAAACAGTGTTTGACAAACCTGATCCAAGAAATGTCACATCTCAGTGATTTTAACATGTCATTTGTCCATTATTTGATGGTTGTGTTCTAGGCAGTGACAGCACCTAATGAATACAATGCATACATTATAATCCGGTAGAAAATTGATATAGTGTTTTTTGAACAGCCTTAGTGCCAGATGGGGATTTAGGATGAATCTGAAAGAGCGATGATCATATTTAATAAGAACGGTTGTTTCTAAAATCACTCCCCTGCAGTTTTGATGAATGCCTCTGCACCCGGTTGGTCAGGACGTGCAGCTGGTGGTCTGCACATTTCATTTGATTTTCCTTTGCCATTGTTCTGCCTACTGTGTTCTTGGCGCAAAGGCAATATTATACTTTGCAACATGGATAATTGCAATCAGACTAAAAAATAAATCACAACCGTAGTGTAAGCTTGCATGATAACGGGCCCTCCAAAATCCTAACAACAGAACATAAAAACGAGCTTGTGGGTATTTAAACTACTTCCTGGTAACAATCCCACTATGCAGAGTGCATCGCTTTATAGATGCAAAACTTAAAAGTGTATGATGCTACTGCTATGAGTTTTTCACTCTGATGATTATTTTACAATTACACATATAGGCGCGAAAAACACAACTGCAAAAACAGGACCTATAGACATGCACTAATGGAGAGATGTGCCACCTCTCCATTAGTACATGCATTATTGTTCTAGGAGCAGTCTTACATGTGACTTGTAAGTCACTTTTACCCACAGCAACTTATATACACTCAATACTGTGGC